CTACTACTACTTCTACTTATACTTATACTTCATACTTCTACTTCCTACTTCTCACTTCTACTTATACTTCTACTTCTACTTCTACTTCTACTACGACTACTACTCTACTACTACTCCTACTACTACTAACCACCACCTACGACTACGACTACGACTACTACTACCACTCCTACGACTACTACTACTACTACTACTACTACTACTACTACTACTACTACTACTACTACTACTACCACTACCTCTACTACTACTACTTCTACTACTACTACTACTACTACTACTACTACTACTACTACGACTACTACTACGACTACTCATAATAATAATTACGACTACTACTACGACGACTACTACGACCACGACTAGTACGGTTATTCCTACTACTACGACTACTCCTACTACTACTACTACTACTACTACTACTACTATCACGGCTACTACCACTACTAATACTACTACTACTACTACTACTACTACTACTACTACTACTACTACTACTACTACTACTACTACTACTTCTTCTGCTACTACTTCTACTACGTCAACTAGTACGACTGATACTACTGCTGCGACGACTACTACTAATACGACTACATCTACTACTACTACTACTACTACCTACTACTACTACTACTACTACTACTCTTGCTACCGTTAAGACCACTAGTATTATTAGTCAGCATGAGAAAAATATTAGTAGTACCATCATTACTTACGAACCACAGTAGTAGTAAGACTGATCTGACTATTAGTGTTACAGGTATTGCTAGTTCTGCTGCTGCTGTTACTACTACGACAACAACTACGACAAAAAAGATTTGAAAATAGCATTGGTATCAGTGTTCTTCAGGTTCCTATTATTGATAGATGGCTACCATTCGTATTCATAGTATTCTACTCGTCGTAATAATAATAGTCGTCATATCTCTTGGTATTAGTATTATTCGTAGTCGTTGTCGCCGTCGTTTTTTCTTCGTCTTCTTAACGCTAGTACCAGCAGCAATCGTATGTTTGTTTTTATTCGTAGTAGTAGTAATACGCGTATGCGTAACAGGTCCGTTCTTAGTTGTATGCTTCGCCGTCGTCTTAATATTAATATTAATAATAGTCCCAGTCGGCTTAGCAGTATTCTTCGTAGCACTACCATTTGTAGTGTGATTCGCCGTCGTTGAAATAAGATGACCAAAAGTGTTGTATTAATCGTATTCCTACTACTGGTTATTAGTATTAGTACGATGTATCGTCTTCTGATTATTCTTGTTACAATGAATAATACTCATCGTGTTCATCTTCTCCCTCTTCTCCCTCCTCCTCCTCCTTCTCCTCCTGCTCCCCCTCCCCCTCATCCTCCTCCTCCTCCTCCGCTTGATCCCACTACTCCTGTTCCTCCTGTTCCTCCTCCCCCTCCTCCTCTTGATCCATGATCATGCGCCTCCGCCTCCTCCCCCTCCATGCCCCCTCATCATCATCATCATCATCATCGATCCTTATCCTCCTCCCTCATCTTCTCCTCCTCATCATCATTAGCAGCCTGGCCATCCTCGTAACTCTGCTGCATCCTCATCCTCACTAGCATCATCATCGACATGGCCATCATCATCATCATCATCAGCATCAGCATCATCATCATCATCATCATCAGCATCATCATCAGCACCATCATCATCATGAGGATCATAATCATCACATCATCATAATCAGCAGCAGCACGGGCATCATCATCAGCATCGCCATCAGCAGCAGCAGCAGCTGACAGTATCATCATCATCGGCAGCAGCATCATCGTCATCATCAGCAGCAGCAGCCGCAACATCCGCAATATCACCACAGCAGGAAAATAATCATATAGACAGCAGTAGCACAACTCCGGATACGGATAGCCCGAACGGCAGGAAGAACAACATATTACTACCTATATGGCTGATAACAAGAAGGCGGCATGAGAGAATCATGATCAATTTAAGAATGATAATACGGATAATCATAAGAATAGTTAGCAGTAGTACTAATAATAAAAGCATCAGGGACATCAGCAACAACAATAACAAAAACAGTCAGTTCAAGACTTCTCGCTGTTCCCTGCTCGCGTGCCACTCAACATGTGTATCCCAAACCCTCGATACCCGCCCTCTTCGTCTTCGATCGTACCCCCCTCGGGGTGTATCTTTCTTACCTGCAACGTGTGTATTCCGTGCAGCCCCTAAGGCAGGGAAAGAGAGGACGGATGGAAGGAAGGGACAAGGGGGAGGAAGATGGAACACGAGAGAAAATAGCAGGAGGGGGGGCTAGGAGCGGAGAACACGTGACAGGACCAGCAGAAACGTCATCATCATCAGCAACCACATCACCAGCATGTTCGTTATCGCCATTGCCACCTTCATCACCGGCAACAACATCACCATCAAGTACCGTCGTCGTCCGATCGACGGACCGCCCGCCCATTCGCCCATCCGTCCACCAAGCATCGTCCTGCGGTATGCTGCTCGGGCGCTGCCGAACG